GGGGTACCCCTTCAGATTTCGCGAAATTTTCGTTTTTGGCCAATAACTCCCAAACCGTTGGACATACGGAAAAATGGCATTTGACCTTTCTTGTAGAGAACGATGAGATCTACAATTTCCATGTAAAAATTTTTCGCTATCGTCAATAGTTAACGAGTAATTTACAAAAAACTGTTTTTTAATTTTTCGTCAATAACTCGTTAAATATTAATGCTAGCGAAAAACTTATACAGGAATTGTAGATCTCGTCGTCCTCTACAAGAAAGGTCCTATACAATTTTCTCGTAGATTCAACGGTTTAGGAGTAATTAAGGAAAAATGAAATTTTTTGCCAAAAGTTCGCCGTTTCGACGCTGGGATGGTCGGATTTTGTCAACATCAATAAAATGCCAAATAATCATACGTAACTCGTTAAATATCAAAGTCAGAAGGAAAACAACTTTTATTTCAAGCATTTTTCGATATTTTGAAAAAAAAAAAATTGTTCGTCATCGTCAGTACTTAATTGGATATTTCCTTCTATACCTTTTAGCACGTAGCTATTTATAATTAGCATTGTTCTTCCGACGTCTGATTTCTTTTTAATTATAGGAAATGCGTTTTTCTAAGGTACATAAACTTTTGGGATTGACTGTATAGCCAATACATCCTTAATTCGACTATCAACAGCAAAGCGTAACGTAGCCAATTGGTCAGTCTGGGTGGCAAGGTATAGGACTCGGTCTAGATCGGTGTTGCTCACTCGATTTCCTCGAGAAATCTACTGGTCGGTCGGGGAACGATCTTTTCTCGTAGCCTCGAAAAAACGAAAAACTGCTAGGTACCGAGACAATCATTTCGCACCGCGTAATTGCGTGCACGGCCAATTACGAAGCCTCCTCGGCGATCCAGGAACCCGTGTCCCGATTGGGATCACGGTTATTGCTTTCCGTGGAAGAAAGTCGAATCGTTTCCACGAAACTCGGATAAGGTGGCTGCTACTGTGATTAGCTGGTTGGTTTCTTTTTATGAAAAAAGCTAGACCTTTATTTCCTTTTATTTCGCGACCGTTCAGATTGCGTAGTAAGTATAGATTATGGTTAAACGCAAACGCAAACTCATAGTTGGATCAGTGCAATCTGTTATTCATTTTTATCATTTTATAATGTGGAAATTAAATGAATCGTCTTATGTAATTTTGTTAGACAAAAGAAATCTCGATCTAAATTTCATTTATTAAATTGATATCACAAATGCTTTATTTTATATAAAAACTTATAGTATATTAATTATATATTTTCATTTTTCGATCGTTTTATTTACTTTTATAGGATAAACGGAATCAGAATTCAGATATTATTCTTAAAACTGATATCATAAATGCATTATTCTGCATAAAAAACTACTTACGTAATGTTACTATAATATAAAAACTTTTTTTTAACACATCGTCAGCGCAGATAACAGAGCAATTACTCTGATAACCGGTCCGCGGTTGCTCACCGAGCGTGTAATGCTTGTGACATATGATTTTTTTTCACGCCTCTCGATTTCCAATTTCGCGTGACGCGACGCGTAGCTATGCCGGAAAATTATAACGCGTGGACCGAGCCAGTGACCAGTTTAATTCACCGGCGATCACGGCCAGTTACCACCCATCCGGCGTGCAGTATCGCCAGTTCAGTTATCAGACAGTTACGCTGTGCGAAGAGACCGGTGGAAGGCTGACTAGGTTCGAGAACCGTGAAGCCACCTGCATTACGCATCCGCTCGCGTGTCTGTTGACTCTGAATAGCTCATCTCTTGCGATTTTTCCAATACAATAAAAATACGATTTATTCGAATCTTCCAATTATATTTGTTATTAATTGTCTAATGATCGATTATTTATAAATGCAGATAACGAAAATGAATCTTATGTTTATATGAAACTCTACTCTTAGCAAAGTGTGTTTATAACACGATTGATAGGATTTTGAATTGAAATAAAGCGGAAAGTACAGAAGAAGATCTAGCTTAGTAAAGTGCATTCTATAGCACTATGCATGAAATACATATAAATCACCATAGTGGTGATTCATAGTGATTGGGTTTGGTGGAATGAATACGACAATCCCAACTTTTGATGTCTCTCGTACACAAATCAGATCGTATCTCATAGATAACACGAATTATGTTTGTTTTAAGGTCGTCGATAGTTTGTGAGTTGTTGGAATAAACGAGAGACCTAACATGGCCTCACAAGAAAAAGTCTAATGGCGTCAAGTCGTAAAATCTTGGTGACCAGCGCATTTCTCGATTTAATCCTATCGTTGAATTTGATAATAAATTTTAATAATTCCAACACGTCGAGCAACTGAGTGCAAATATCATGTGACTGACAATTGTGTAACAAACATGGCGGCTGTGATCAATTTAAAGATCTAACACTCTTATTGGAGGACTGTATATTTTACATCTGCAGAATGTTTGGATAAACAATATTAAATAAATTTAAGTAATAATTTCATGGATAATATTTTACACGCACGATGCAGACATAATTGTGCAGAACAATGGAATTGAAGCTTGTAATAAGTTTTTCCATTTATAACTAAATAATATACCTCGATGTTTCCTACTTTCAGACGTGTTTATTCCATTTGTAGCTGATGCCAGATTCATTTAACGGTATTTCAATGCTCATTCTCTCACTGTATTCAATTTTATAGATGATCCTCTTTATCTCATTGTTGTACAGTGTATAGCAAGCCGAGAGGCCGCATAATGAACAGTACTAATCTTTGTAACATTGTTGAATCGACTGCGTAAATGGGTATTGATCGAACGAGGGTTGGTTTCGAACCAGAGCAAGTACAGAACGGCATCGAATATAGGGAATGCTTCGTCTGTGGGTGGGGTGCAAAAGGTTTGAATTAGAAAGTTATTATTGGAAAAGTTTGTACCCGGCTCGACGCGAATGCTCGCCAGATTGTCCGATACCTATTTTATTTCTACTCTGTAAATACGTGAGTGATTACGTTTTGCAAGTTCTCGTTCAGTAATAAGACTTTTTAATTTAGATTTTTTAGAAGACAAGAATCATTAGACTTTTATGCAAAATGTATCTTTTGCAATGTCCATTTAGAAAATGAAACCTACGTGAATAGATCTCGTTTGAATAAAAAATACTCTCTCAATTTATGTTTTATAGAAGGCGAGCAAGTTCATTACGAATAGGCTGCAGATTTTTATGCAAAATGAATCTCCTCTGTAGCCGGCGTGAATCAATTGACAAGTTGTGTAATGATTTGATCGA